TTCAATCATCAGTTAACTCTTAACTGTATAATAAAATTGTAATTTTTTAGTATGGAAGAATTATCAAATATTCACTGTTATTCATCAGTTAAAATTTATCTGGCTTTGAAGTAATCGGCTCTGAGTAGGTTATGTCTCAGTCTCGTACTTTCATAGAGATGTCAATGAGTTTTAAAATATTGCGATTAAACCAAGATGGTGTTAAAAGCACGAGTTAACAAAATTGCGGATAAAAAAAATTATTAAGAGATTTAAAACGCAATGCGAAATGGCGACAATATCGAAAAGCTGTAAATAAGTATTATTTTTTATTAACCCTACTTAAATAAAATTAGATTTAAATAGATGTTTGTTAATAGATTTGTGTTTAGCAGTTGTTACTTTATTTTCGACTTTATGTGGCTATCGACCGAAGACTGAAAGGCTATTCAATTACGACAATACGATATTTAAATATCGTCTTCTTTGTCATTTTCCAAAGAATTTGTAGTGACAGAAAGACTATACTCAAGCGCGACTTGAAATTAAGTAGCGTTTGAGTATTTCAGCATATAAATCATGAATACATCAAGAAAAAGATGTATTAAACGCTTCTCATCAAAAACAGGCATAAATTGTGCTGTTTTTATAATAACTATCGTGAGACATACTAAATTAACTAAAATCGCGGGTTACTCACGTGAATATACTGAGAAAAGCTCTACTAGTTTCGAACCACAGAGGGGTTCTTCCTCATGAGCAGCGTGCGCGGTCGGGGCGACGTCGCGCAGCTCACTGAGTAAACTAGTAAAGCTTTTCTCCGTATATTCACGTGAGTAACCCGCAATTTTAGATAATAAATTGTTTTCTGGACTTGTCGAAATCTAATCAAACTGTTACTTAATTTGTATGAAGCATGCACATAAAGATGCATTATCAGTTAGACATTTGTTAAATATCTTAATAAAAATATATCAATTATTAATTACAACTACGGAAACGTTAGCCTGTAAGTGTAGGTACGTAGGTACTATTAGCAGTTAACTAAAAATCTTCTAACCACGACAAAATTAGGTATTGTCAGTCTAGCATAATAGCTTCTTCAAGTAAGCTACATAGTCATAAGCATAGTCTATTAAGTAAATGTATAGTATAAGTGGCATATTATTGTTATAACTACATCTTAGTTTAGCTGGCTATACGTATTTTTCTTTTTTTTTTAAACTTTGCACCACACTAGGATTTTCTCCTGTGTCGTGGGTGCGTTTACATACATACAATATCACATACTTGATGACAATTAGGAGACACTTAGTTACATGGCAATTGTGATTGTTTTGTATTATTTTAGAAAAGCCTTTTGATCTGAATCGACTACTTGACGTCGGATCAGACTGGCTATCTGATATCATATTCTTTTATGGCAGATACTGACAAAAGTTACTAAATGGTATAATCTTGATATTCAGATGTAGTACCTATTTCTAGATAAAATGAAATATTTATACATTTTTTTTTATAATAAAGTAACTAGTTCTGTACATATAAGTTCATCTAAGGTACGTAAGATAAATACTGTTATTAGCCATCTAAAATTAGATGTAATAAATGTTAATATTATTTGTTACAGCATAGCGATTGCACAATTGCACATTTTTGCTACCTCTACACTTTGACCAGTAATATCTAGATAGGGGCAAAATAGTCTACATTTTATTACTACATACATAACATAAGGTCGCTAGGTAAGGTTTCCTCGACTACCTTATATGCTCTCATTGTTTGGGGCATCAGTGGATCAATATTGGATAATAAGTAACTAGAAATAAGGTACCTACATATTTCATAGAATAACGGTCAGAGAGTAGAGGTATAGCGATGCAAAATTAATATATTTTCAGCCACTGTAATGTCAATCTTGTCATGCAATTTTAGTCTTTGTTTTTCAAAGTCATGGTATAGTGTTAATGGGAGGGGATTGTGGTGACTAAGGTACAAAATGTCTAATTGTGTATAATCAGCGGCTAAGTATTATCTAGAGTAAGTTAATGTTCTTTGTATGTATCTACTACATGAGTGTTAACAAAAATGTAACTAAGTACTTTGGATATTAAACTAGTATTTAAATAAAAACTAATTGTCTAGTTTTTGTAATGGGCTTATAAATGAAAATTAAGAAAATCATACTTTCTAATAAAGAAATAAAGTACTACAGGACGTTTGTATGATGAGTTAAAGGTACCTTGCTAATAAATGTAAGTATGTTCTTCTTTTACAACAAAAATGAGTAGTTTTGTTATTTTAATGGACATCCATAGGGAGGGGAATTTAGGAAGGAAATCTAATTACTCAATTAGCAAAAATACTTCTAATATCATGTAAAGCCTAATGCCTATGTAAAGTTGTATCCACCAGATACAGGAATGTAAACTTGTCATAAAGGAGTACTTGGGAAGGATGTCTTAGTATGTTAGTCGCTAGTCAACCATTATGTTACAAGTACCATAATGAGCATGTTTGGATCGAGCGAGCGAATACTGAAACTCTTCTATAAACTAAGTGTGACTAAATCTAGAAAACTGAGAAATGGAAAGATACATCTGATGCTTAACATTGTGTGTAGCGTGAAAAAGCAAGATTTTAACGCACTATGCTAACTGTGGTAAAGATCACAATACAAGTGTATGAAGATCAAAAACACTATTGTTCGTTTTGCAGGACTTTGATCAGAGGAGTCTTTGGTAAGAAAGTATTGTTGGCGAGAACTACACGGCTGTGGTCCACCGGGGACTCAAACTGTGTGTGTTTGAGACAGTCGTTTGTAAACTTTAGAATTTTGCTCCGTGTGTACCGCGCCTCTACGTGACCGAGGTCGCTCCGGTCCACTACCAGTACTAGGTGCTCGAGAACTCCTACTCCGGCCAGAGGCTGCCGAGCTAGATCCACTCATTCCAAACACGCCCAAGAGATGTCACGTGCCTCAAACAACAACACCACAGCTACCTACTAAGTATTCGCACCTGGACCTCGGCTAAACAGTTCCTGTTACCGGCCCTCTCTACGAACGGTTTCTTAGGCGCGTTTTGAGTTCGTTTGGCCAACGATATATCGGACTGGACCCTCGTGATGATGATCCTGCAACACGTCATACCTGCACTTCAGCGAGGCAAGTGGACCGCGAGTTGGAACGCTCCATGATGGCACGTTTCGACGGGTTGTTGAGCAGAGAACGCTTCGCGAGAGATATGTCGGCCATCACGCGCGTTATTATTATCCTGCAATGTTAGTCCGTGAGGTAAACGGTTAGTTGTTAGTGCCATCGGCGCAGGCGCAGCTCCACTGACTGGAACAAAGCGTTAGTCGTCCCGCTCACTCGCAGTGGCCGTCTCCGTGGATATTGGTAGGTTTGTATTAATTTAGAAATTATTAGACTGATAGAACTGTGAGAATTGGTAGTGGGAAACGTATCAGTCATACAAGTAGTTTGTTCATGCCAATTAATTATATTTAATAAATAAATAGATAGATAAAGTAATAAGATCGACTCTCGGTCGGTCGGTGCTAAAATGACGATACGAATTTGGTGCGTCGAGTAATGCAGATACCACCCTCACCTGCCTTCAAAGCGTCTTTTGAGAAAATCAAATAAAGCTTTCTGCATCATGTCGGTGACTTCGTAGCCCTTGAGACTGGGCCCCACGATGACGACGGGGCGCATGGAGGGCACCACGTCGTACGGAGTGCTCGCCTCCGCCTTCTTGAAGAACGGCTTGCGCTTCTCCTTCCCCCCCGCCGCCCCCGCGCCCCGCCCGCGCCCCGCGCCGTCCGACTCCTCGCCTGCGGACACAGTCTACTCACTCGCTGATACACACTAACAACACAACCCTAGCCTTTCGCTATCCCTTACCCACTGAGCATTATTACCCCCAGTACCTTTCCCCGATAACTTTATACCCCAGCAAGTAAAGCGCACTCTCCCAAACTTAAAATATATTGAAAATACTCACTTTTCTTGACACGTTGCTCTCAAAGTAAATGCAAAGCTACCATGCTCTCCTCTTTACATACAGACAAACAGAACTAATACTTGGGGCTGTAGCAACGTAATATGTCATTCAAGGAACACAACATAAAGTCCAATATAAATATCTTCTACAATACACATAGACAACATCGAGAGTTTATCGAGACATCCCAGTTTACAGAGTAGAGGAAAAGCAGAATTTTCATTCATCATAATTATACAATATTAATTATTATGTTACGGCGTACTCACGTAACTGTTTGACGAGGAACTCGACTAGTTTCAAGCCATGCTAGAGGCTCATATATTCATGAGGAGCATTCCGCTATTCGCGACGCGGCGCGGCGGCAGTCGCGCTGCTACTGAGCTTCTAGCATGGCTTGAAACTAGTCGAGTTCCTAGTCAAACAGTCACGTGAGTAATTCGAAAACGTAATAATGAATTTAGTATGTCACACGAAAGTTTTAATATAAACATCATATTCAACTTTATTACATGATGTAAGAAGGACCAGTTCGACTTGGAAATATATGAAAACATTTTTAGTGAAAGGTTTTCATATAGGGTTCTCGTCCCATAGTCCACTGTGGGATTATGGGCCTCTTCTCTGTGAGAGAAGTTTGCCATTGTCTCCACGATTAGCAAGGGTGTTGCAGATCATTATAAATATATAAACTATACACTTATACGGCTTTTGCAACACCCGCTAGAAGATAACGGATATGAACACATATGTATTCTACTCTTTTGGTGTACGTAACATTTTCCTCTACTGTGTAATCGAATACACAGAAATATAATTTATACACATAGCCTCAAGACCCCTGGACCACATTCAAAAAGCTTTTGAAATATACTGCCCAAACTGAATAAAGTACCATACCATAAAATATATTACACATAAATAAAATATACATAACATAGCTAAAACGTTCCTGTAAATCACCAAGATATATTAAATAAAAATATTAAACATTAATTAATAATTAAAAATAGTAAAAATAGGGGAGTCATGCAGTAATGGGGTGTGGGATGGAACTGTGACTTGAAAACGAAGCTACTACTTTACGATTTAAGGTTTAAAATCCATTGTTTTAAATATAGCATTTTTTATATTGACCATGGTATTATTTAACTTTAGATAGGTTTTTTATTTGAACTACATTTTTTATAAATTTTGGTGTAGTCTGGACTCTGGCTTAATCAGTTAAAATATTATATAGTCAGTCATTGTCTGTCAGTCTTTTTACGTAAAATTAAAAGTAATTTAAAGAGGATTGGGTATAAATTACTTGACAAAGGAATTTATAAAAATGACAAACGTTTATAGATGCGAACATACATGGGTAACATCTACATATAAAAAAAATAGATGAAAAAAATTTACGACATTTCCTGGTGTCGAGCGATGAGTGCGTGAGCTTACCTCGATCGAACGATGGCACATCTGAAAATGTGGCAAACGTGAGTGCGAATATACATTATTCGATGTATCGACTATTGTGCTGGCCGATTATTCGATTTACCATGACTAATAAACCGATTACTCGCGTCAAAACGTCAACAGATTAGTCGATTCGATCTTAACGCGTCGAAACTAAACAATATAAATATTAAACTTACGAATAAATAGGTATTATACTTGCTTTGTTTTTGCGACCGAATTGACTAATTACTGATTTGGGGTAGTCGATTAAATCGACTATTAGTCAATAATCGGTACATCTGTATAGACCAGGAAACTCTATAACTTCACCGATTGATGAGTGATCATGGAATGGCTAGTACAAAGCAGTTATACATACCATTTGAAACAATAATATTATATTAAATTTAATTTGTGACGAAAATATTTTAGAACTATTGGATTTTGTGCAAGAAGGTTATTTAAAAATTTGGAATAAGGCTGGTCTCAATTTTTTACTCAATTTTAAAAGTGTAACCAAAAAGAAATAGAAAAAAAAAACAGGAATAATCCCCGAGGTGCAATTAAGAGATTTTTTAGTATTTTAAAAATAATATTTACAAAATATTTCTTAGGTAATGCCAATAGAAACATCGAATCACGAACTACAATTAGGATCGTCTTGCTTTTTATTAATTTTGTTAATTTTAGAAGAAATTTTGTTAAAAGGCCATTATTGTCGTATCAGCGAGTCTAGAGTGTTAGAAAGAGCAAGACGATGTATAACAGAGAGAGACAAACAACTGCGTTGTACGTTACAGGCACTGTATAAAACGACATACGTACACATATATTGAATCATAAATAATCCCAAATTAAAAGTTGATACTTGAGTAGGTAACAGGTTCAAAATGTCAAAACTTTATGTTTAAAATAAAAGTGTCCCAGTGATAATTAGGGACATGAAGATTTTTCTGTTAAACTTCCATAAGTAGGTCAAAATAACAAATTGTGTGTTTGTGGTCTGTACCAATTCAGTTTAAGACCAATAAAAAAACATTGGTCATATTCGCTTTCCGGGGCCCTTTAGTTTGATATTTTGGCAAAACGTTTACAGTGTTGCTATTTATATAATTGTATTCGTGTATATGTCATTTTATACAGTGCATGGTAAGCTATAGGCAGGTGGTCACTCTTGCTCATAATATCTCCAATGATCTTTTAATTTTGTCACACGATCATGGGATATTTTGCTACGGTATGAAAATCAAAACATTACGTAATAGTGTTTTAATTTTCACCATAGTAGCATTTTCACAAATCCAAGGCTCTCGATTTAATGTCGACTAAATAATCGACTAATTTCAGCAACCGTATCCGATTAATCGAAAATCTGATTTTAACATTTCGTCTGTATTTGAAAATCATAAAAAATGCATGAATATTTATTCTACATTAAGAAAGTTTCACTTTGAAATTGGAATTTTATATATAAAAAAAAATTGTACTAAAAATCCGACAGTTAAATAGATAGCCTTGTTTGTGTGGGTAGAGCAGTGTACCTATAGTAGCGTGCAGTGCGGCATGAGGTATGCATGACGTACCGGGCGTGGGAGGGGTGCTACCTCTGGAGAGGGGCGGCGCGTGCTGCTGGTGGGGCGCCGTGGACGCCGGCCGCGGGTAGCGCCCCCTGGCGCCCAGCCCCGACCGCACTGCCTCCAACTTCACCGGCGACGGGATGAAGCCCACGTCGCTGCCCTCCTTCACGAGGCGCCCGATCCACCAGTTGTTGTCGTACTTCTCCTGGAAATGTTGTGCAGAGGCATTGGTATTGTCTAATTGATATTTGTTTAAAATTAACTGCATCGGTCGACTATCGCCGCCTTCGATCGTATGAGTTACAAAACGACTGGGCACGGCGCTTCATATTAAAGCCAATTATTTATTTTTGGGTTCATAACTTCGTAGCATGGAATCTGAACATTCCTTCAATATCCTCTCACCTCTTGAAAGTGATAAAAGGATAACAATCAAGTACACGGATCATTCGATCACAAAACCATCTAATGCAATCAGTAAAGAAAGTCATCCTCCGAGACATTCTAGAGCAAAATAATGAAGAACAATATTTAATGATACGTATGAAGCTTACCTTGATGTGGAGAAAATCGCGCACCTCGAAGGAGATTGCGCTGCCGTGTACCGGCGAGTCGTCGTCCACGGTGCCATCGTACGACACATTGGTGCGCACCGCGAACGCCACTGGCTTCTCCTGGAACATTGTTGATGCAAGTTTTAGTACTTCCAAAACCGCTGCAACTCCTGTAAGCCACGATCTACAGTAGACACAACCATGAAAACATCGGAACACTGAAGAAGTCCGGCGCGTCTCAGGGACATGAATAACCGTTGGTGGACATGAATCAGAAGATATTATAAGAGGAGAAGAAAAAAGAAAAACACGATAGTTTCTTCTTTCTTCGGTGAATTACTGCAGGAGACAGAATGCACAAGAAGGCACAAAAAGAGATTGTACAACTGGGAGAAGCCCAGTTGCCAAGAACCACGGAAATTTCACTAAAAACTATTCCACTTGCGTAGGCATACATTTATGTGCTACTATGACTGTAGGCAGCGGTTATTGTATCTTTTTTTTATGGCATAAGCCTGTAAACCAGCAGACGGATCACCTGATGGTAAGCAATCTGCGTCGCACATGGACACCTGGAACACCAGAGGCGTTACAAGTGCGTTACCGGCCTTTCGGGGATTAGGAGTTTGAGGATCGTTGGGGATTCAGGAATTGGGGAGATTGGGGAAGGGGAGGGTAATTGGACCTCCGGTAACCTCACTCACACGATGAAACACAACGAAAGCGTTGCTTCACGTCGGTTTTCTGTGAGGCCGTGGTATCACTCCGGTCGAGCCGGCCCATTCGTGCCGAAGCATGGCTGTCCCACACTTTCTCTTTCAAATGTTATCCATAAAACCAACAACTTTTCACTGAGAATTGACATTCAATATTTAACCAAAACATCCAAATTATCTATCTATTCTATCCATTGTATATATGGAAGTGCTAGCGTACCCGTGCCTTGTCCAGCTGTTTGATAGCCTGCGCTTCCTTCTCGCGGCGCAGCGCCTCCTTGTCTTCGTCAAGCGACAGCTCCGACGATGGTTGGGAATAGTTTGAATCTGCTGAGCCCTGGAAGAAGTAGAAGGATGCTGTTAGGACTTTGCTAAATGTTATAATAACAATCTGAAGGAGCATAGCTACAATTATTCGAAGTGTATTCACCAACCAATCCTCTGATCTTAATTCAAACAATGTAGATATACCTAAGTTTATAAAGGTATGATTTGTTTTTATTGTTTGTTCAGTTTACATAACATAACATCACGCCTTTTTATCCCCGAAGGGGTAGGCAGAGGTGCACATTTCGGCACTTAATGCCACTGTACAATGTAACACCCACTGTTCACTATTTATGTTATGAGTCCCATGTAATAGGGGGTGAACCTATTGCCATATACCGGGCACATTTCCAGACTCCGTGCTACTACTGAGATTTTTAAAAAGCCAGTAATACTTTGCCCGACGCGGGAATCAAACCCGAGACCCCTTGCCCGGCAGTCGCATTTGCGATCACTCGACCAACAAGGCAGTCACTTCGTTCAGTTTAGTTCGTTAGATTTCCAGAATTTGCACTACACTATAGTAGACTCAGACACGTGTACAAAACATAATTTATCGTCATAAACAATTATGCATTCGTTTGATGGCCAGCGGCCTTAGTACAAGTTTCATTTACGTTTAAAGTATTCGTAACGAGTACGCGTTCGGCACTGTGATTGGCTGGCGCCAATGAACCAACCAATCAGAGCGCCGAACGCGTACTCGTTACGATTACTTTAAACGTAAATCAAACTCGTACTAAGGCCTCAGCACCTTAAACTTTACTTACAGACTGGACTAAGTCTTGACTAAACGGAATAGTCAATAATTATTTCAAAGACTGCCTCGTTGGCCGAGTGGTCGCAAGTGCGACTGCCGGGCAAGGGGTCTCGGGTGCGATTACCGGGTCGGGCAAAGTATTACTGGGTTTTTAAAAATTCTCAGTAGTAGCACGGAGTCTGGAATTGTGCCCGGTATATGGCAATAGGCTCACCCCCTATTACATGGGACTCATAACATAAATAGTGAAAAGTGGGTGTTACATTGCACAGTGGCATAATGTACACCTCTGCCTACCCCTTCGGGGATAAAAGGCGTGATGTGATGTTATGTTCTGTAATTTCTATTTGTAACATTATTTTGACTGACTTGTAAAATATTAAACTCCGATTAGAAATATCTATTCGTATTGTCGTGTCTCGGTAGACAGCTGTAATGTTAGTAGCTAGATATTTTGTAATACCAGCACTAGAATATTGTAAGAGTTCAAGGCTATGAACCTTGACATTTTTGGATCAGTTCCACCAGTAAGTACTTGGTAGTATTGCAACTTTTTAACCAACATTTAAATTTACGGTTACTGCATCTGCATCTTTTATTGCTTGTAAACATTTATGAGTGAACTTTATGGTTATTTTTAAATATTATGGTGTGGGATGTTACGATGTCAGATAGGGGTGTAAGACCATGGTGTAGAATATGGGAAATTCCGCTTATATGTGTGGAGGAGGCTCATTGTCCAGCAGTGACTTGTCACGCAGTATTGACGCGTCACCACGGAATGTGACGTCACTGTTGAAGTGTGGGAATACCTACTAGAGTCATAACAAGATAATATTGACGTCTTCATTATGCAAAATAATTACATTTTTATTGTTTTATGAAACCTTTTAATCCCAGTAGGGGCACACTGCACATACATTATGCCACATCCACTTTTTGTAAAATTGTTTAGTAGTTTTTTTTTTAGTATCTAATCGTCGTTTTTCATTCACTGTTTTAGATTTAATTTATTTTACGTTTCATATAGGTTTTTATTCATTTTCGTGTTGTTTAAGTTTCTCATTTTTGATTTGAATAAAACTTTAAAATACTAATACACTTTTGTGAATAAAATACAATGAAACAATTTAGGGCTTATGTGCAACGTATAAGTTACATTATTGTACATAGTTACGTACTTGTAATTGCCAAAAGCGTCCGCTTTTCGTCAAGTTTGTTGCAATTATTATATTCGCTAATACACATAATAATGCCGTGAAAATCAACTAACAACTGCGTTCTTACAGGAAACTTCTACAGCAGACGCTAACATAAAACGTGACTTAGAAACAGAGGAAATCTAGCTCAGATTGCTAGAAACACGGGACCGTTATTTCTTTTTTTGTAGTACACTAACATTGTTCCAAAATGGCACGTAACGTCGAATCTTTTATAACCCGAATGGGTTAGCTGAACTGTACATACCTACTTAATGCTAAGGTTTTCATTTCGAATCCAATGTAATAGACTACAAGCATACTTTCCGCTGTATATAATATAGACTCCGTAAAATTGAACTGACAATTTCTAAAGGCGAAAATCCCGACTATACTTCACTAGATTAGGGAACAAATTCGAGACCTGATAACTTAGTAGGAAGTCACTTACACGACTAAAATGGCAGTATAAATTAAAATTTAATAGTCAAGTTTATCAAATATAGTTCCAAAAGTACTCTGGAAACAAAAATGCCAGTTATAGTTGGACCAACAATCCATAAGTAGTGCAAATATTTTGGCACGAGACTCGAACGGCGTGCGCATGCTCAGGACCGCTTTGCACCAATCATGCAGTTTTTAACACGGCCTACAGGGTACAGGAGTAATGTTGGATGACCTAAAATATTGGAATTTTAGTGCTATTGTTTTAAGCTTTAATGTAAGCTGATAGGTTGAAATGTTATTGGGTTATGGTATGCCCATTTCAGTCCGTCGTTTTTTTGTAAGCAAGTTTTATAAAATAATATCATGAAGGACAATTTTCAATGTCTCAACAAACTCTCTCACTTTGGTAATTTAACTTTTTATATCAGAAGGTACTGTCGCGTTGGATTTTTGAATATTTGAACATACAGATTAAACGTTTTTTCAACACACATTTAATGGAAAGTGGGTGAAAAATAATCATTTCAAATCAGTACTGTTAAGTTTCATTATGTTTAAAGTTTTTATGACGTACAAATTACTAAATCGACTAAAAGTCTTAACAAAATTCACAGATTTTTTTAAAATTCGTCGTAAGTTCAAGACGTATAGAACAAAACACAAAGTATCATAGACAACACACAGGTGACAAAGCACACAGATAATAAATAAATAAAAAATAAATACAGGGTGTCTTACCAAGGGCTTGTAGTTTGTCATTGGGCGGTGGTGAGGTGTGCCGACTGCATGCAACGCGAGACACAGACAGACGGAAATCAGACAGACATGCTGGGAGGCTAGGGTACAGAATGCCACATTGTTTATTAAATAATTACTCTAAATTGAATAGAGAACATCCTCCTTTTGGGGAAGTCGGTTAAAATTGTCTCTGGTGAAGAAGAAAGAGTGGTTCAGAAAATTGACGCTAGTAATGTCTTTCTTCGGTCTAGATGCGTCAATTTAGTATCTTAACACAGTTAAGGTTTAGGGAGTATATTCTATACCAATTGATTTTTTCTTGCATTTAAAGAAAATCACTAACGCATCTTATAAGAAGTATTCGGGGAAACCTCAGATATTATTTTAGTGAAGTCCGTGAAGATGTTTGTCTGTTTGCATGAAGGTAAGATATGTCACATCTAGACCGAAGAAGAAAATATATTATTTTTATGTAATCGATACGTTAGAGTAATTATTTAAATCGTTATAGTTGCAACACTATATCGAGTGTGGCTGACTGTACACAAAGAAATGTCGGCACATAATCTAAAAAATAAAACAATTAGTTCATGCGGTTATCTGTTACTGTGGATTTGTATTATGTTAGTGTCATCTCGTTTAAAAACATTTTTTAAATTTAGAATTTCGATTAGTAATTTTTTAAATAACAATTTCACCAATTCGATTATAGCCAATTTAATGAGGTAACATAAATACAAATAAATAAAGAATAAATTGAAAATAATATTAAGATCCTTTTTTTTATTCAAATTATAAATTAGGATAAAATGATTAGAAATAAATCAAAATTATAGATATAAATACTTGTAAAGTATACTCGAGGTATGTATGTGAGTCTTACAGCAAATGAGATGAAACTACTATCCACTAGCATTTTACTTGTAAAAACTAAAAGCCTCTAAATCAAACCATTTAAACTAAAACATACTACAGACGACGCTCACCTTAGGCAAAGCTTCCAAAAATATTTAAATATAACAAAAAAATCGTCTTCACACTTACAAACATTTTAGATACAAACTACAAGACGAACCGACCGGTAATTTTTTAAGAAATTAATTTACTAATTCATTTTATTACGAACTGTCATAAAATGCCGCGGGAACTTTCATTCACTGACTAAGGTATTAACCCATTCAGCCAGGGAAGAAGTGTTAGCTCTGTGGCCGCGATTGATCAAGGCTGGAACAACACTGGCACGACGGATTCGGCGGCAGTCTGGCGGGTCGAAGTAGTGACGTCATTGCCTCCCCCTACCACCCACAACTGGCTCGATAACCCCCACTGTGCATACTTTACGCCCTTGTTTTTGGGGCAGCGCCAGTAGGGGATTTTTTATTTATCAACCGCCGTTTTGGCTAGCGATACTATGTTTTTGTGTAGGTAAGTTATTTTTTATTATGCGGAGTTTTCGTGTTTGGCTTGGCTCACGAAATTCTTACTGAATGGTTCAGGGGGATGGGTTAGGGTGGAAGCGAACTCACAACGAGATAATCAAGGACTTGCCAAGTCACCCCATGAAATATTTTCTTATTTGTATGAAACCCACGAACAAACTACTGACCTCCATTCAAGTACTTAATTGTTCTTGCAATAAACTTATTCTGGGCACGATCAAATTAAGCTCGAACTTATAAAAGGAAAATGATATAATATGCATTATACTAGATCTAATTATGTTAATTACTAGCACTTAACCAATTTTAGTCGATTAATTTAAAGAATAGATTAGCCACATCTCTAGAATAAGATCAACTTTTGAATTATGAATCTGTCAAACATAAAAAATATTGTCAACGCGGCAATTTTGAAAATAGAACATGT